AGAGGTTAGGACAGGATTGTGTGTTAACGTTTCCTGTTGTGTTGAGATTTTTCTTTCCTTACAAGTTCTTTGAATGAAGGTGACGTGACATTGAAGGAGCTTTCCAAAATTTTATGTCCTCATCCATCGGTGGCGAACTCTGTGCGATTGGGGGACACTCTGGACCTGGTGGCGCTAACTGGTACCGGCGCTGCGACAGGTTCGCCGCGAACAGGGTACCGGCTGACCGTGTGGAAAGTGTATGCGAGAAGGGAGAGCGGTGGCTATGGCAGAAAAGGGACACGGTCAGCACCGACCAAGTGAGAAGCCCGCCACGAGGGTTGGTTAACTCGGTGTGCAAGCGGGAAAGCTCACACGTTACTGGAGTTTTTGGCGCTTCTGGAGAACTTGCAAACAGCGTCGAAGACAGAACATGAAAACACAGAGTGGATGGGAGAGCAGTTGAAAGAAGGGCAAACGTACCTTTGACGAAGAGGAAAACCGCAGACAAGAAAGAATCACAGTGCTTTCTCCAGCGAACGACGGAGGGGGACGAGGAGTGGAGGAGGCTAAAAAGAGGCAGAGATGATAAAATCGTAGTCAAGAAAGAATCACACACCCTTTCTAGCGAACAAGGGAGGGGGATGAGGAGTGAAGGAGGCAAAGGAAGCGGGCAGGAACACAGAACAGAGGCAGAGACGAGTACGGAAGGAAGTTTTTGAGGCAAACAAGGAGAAGACTGGACATCAAGCGGGACAATACTGAAGACATCGAATAGGAGGCGACAAAAAGGAGGGAGACGGTGCAAGGAAGAAGGACGTTCACTCTGGGTTCTGGCCCCTCACCTTTGGGGCCCCGAAGACACCCTTTCTGGCGAACGAGGGAGCGGGATGAGGAGTGAAGGAGGCAAAGGAAGCGGGCAGGAACAGAGAGCAGAGGCAGAGACGAGTACGGAAGGAAGTTTTTGAGGCAAACGGGGAGAAGACTGGACATCAAGCTGGACAATACTGAAGACATCGCATAGGAGGCGACAAAGAGGAGGGAGACGGTACAAGGAAGAAGGACGTTCACTCTGGGTTCTGGCCCCCTCACCTTTGGGGCCCCGAGGATCGCCTCGGTGAAGGAAAGGGAGCGGCCCAGAGGTAAGCGACAGCTGTCCAATTACCCTCCCCCTCTGTCGAAACCAATCTAAATATAATGTGGTTCGTTTCTTCCTTTTGACTACCCCCTCTCTCTGCCTCTATCCCGCTCCAGACTTTTCCCCGATCCCGACACTTCTCCACGTGCCCCTTATCCCCCCCGGCACGTCTTACACCCAGCCACTCGATCCCGACGCTCTCCCTCCCTCCTCCATCCTACCTGGCCACCCGACCCTGACACCCCTACTCCCTGATCTCGACGTTCCTCCCCCCCTCCATCCCGCCTGGCCCCCCGATCCCGACATCCCGACATCCCTGACTCTCCTATCTCGACTATTTCGACTCAATATTTTTGACCCGATCGGATCTACTCCCCCATCCTCTTACACCCCTGCCCCTCTGGATACGCACACAATCCCGCTTCCCCTCCCCCCCCCCCCCCCCCCCCCCCCCCCCCCCCCCCCATCCCACCTGCCGACACCCCCCCCCCCCCCCCCCCCCCCCCCCCCCCCCCCCCCCCCCCCCCCCCCCCCCCCCATCGCGTCGGACATCCAACCACTTGATCCGACCACGTTACCCCCCCCCCCGATCCCGACGCTTCTCCACCTTCCCCTTACCCCCCCAGTGTGTCTGACACCCGCCCACTCGATCCAAACGCTCTCCCTCCCTCCCCCATCATTCCTGGCCACCCGACCCCGATACCCCTGCTCCCCGATCTCGACGTCTCTCCCTCTCTCCATCCCGCCTGGCCCCCCGATCCCGACATCCCGACATCCCCGACCCTCCTATCTCGACTATCATCTCGACTCAATCTCCGCGCCCCCATCGGGTCTCGGTCGGATTTCCCCCCTCTGCTTTCTCCCCCGCCCCTCTGGACACGTAAGCAACATTCCTCTTCCGGGGTGGGTGAAAAGTGAGCGCGTGTGTGTTTGAGTGTAAGGAAGTAGAGAGAGAGAGAGAGGGAGAGGGAGAGAGAGAAAGAGAGAGAGAGAGAGAGAGAGAGAGAGAGAGAGAGAGAGAGAGAGTTCATATTCCCTCCCGTCGCTATTCCGCCATCTATCCAGCCATTGCTTACCCTGATACCTTTGCTCAAACCTCCATCGGATCCTCCTATTACTACTCTCCTCCCCCCCTCCCCCTCTCTCTCACCCGTGTTCCTTTAACACACCTAGCCCTTCCCTCGAGCTTCCGACCTTCCTCACACCAC